GCGAGCCGGCGAAACCGATAAAAAAAGTGGCCGGCCGCGTGCGATCGAGCGAGCGGGCGAGCCACCTCAGCCTCAGCCACCGCCCCCCTTTTCGACACGCGCAGGGGGGCTCGACCCGCCGTGAACGCACATTACGGAACGTACATTATTCTCGAACGTGCACTCACCCCGTGCCGCGGCCGCTGCTGCTCTACTCCACTCACGGCGTAACCGGGTAGTCCCCAGGAGCCCGTCCGTCGCCGTCTCAGTCGCCACCACTCGGCATCGCCTAATTAATTAAACCCCCGGATCACATTTGCAAATAACATAAATCGTGATAATTATTTCCGCGAGGATCACTTGCACGGTCCGCCGCCAGGGGCGCACCGCGCTCTACACCTCTACGCGCTTTTCGGTCTTATATGCGTATGCGTGTGTGCGTCACACTGAAGTTAACGTGTAGACAGTAAACAGTAGTATGAGTACTTTTCATTTGGTGACGCAAATCGACACGAGTGTCTTTCTGTCTTTGTTACTCTCTACGTGTCAAGAAAGATAGAATGATGTTTGTCGATTTATGTCATTAAACGGAAAGTACATACACCCTATGTACGACGTACATGTATGTGTGGGCGCGAGCGTACGTGTGTGTATACACGGATGATCCGGCTGCGCTTACGCGACGCTACTTTGCGCATTTATCAATATTACTTTTTGCAATTGATATATTACGGCACGCCGCGCCGCGGCGCGACGCGTCGCAGCATATGGCGGTACTGACGCTTTGTTAAGAGTGATCTGAAAGAGTTTCAATTTTTCAAGTACCTTTTTTTGAAGTAGATAGGTGTAGATAAGCGCGATAGGTGTAGATAAGACATCCCACCTATCACAATTCACATAATACTTATCTACACTTATCTACTCCAAAAAGATACTTCATTTTTGTTCTTCAACATATATGTAACATATATATAACATATGCTACAGTATCAAATCTTTCTCAGAGAGGAACGCCTATGGGTGCGTTTCTACTGAACGCATCGCGTCGTGAAAAAGAGAAAAAAAGAAGTTGTATATTTGTACAGATGGGATGTTTTCATTGGTTAACTCGTGATGACGCGATGCATGATGTCAGAGAGAAACCTGAGAGAGACCTTTTGCCTGTTACCGTCGAAATCGCCCGTACATTACCGCCAGTATATTCATTTCCAGTTTGGAAATTATGTGATTATATACATTTTCTGACGATTAAATCGATTCTATCTATAAAATCGTATCGTCGACAGTAAATGTGATTCGTCTGTTCGTCGTTCTGTGTACTAAATATTTAGGACAGAAGTGTGCCGATTATATATATAGGAGAGATAGTTTGATGGGTCCTTGGACGAAAAAACTTTAATTTCGCACCTTCTACATATGTAAATAAAAGATGTTGAATTTTAATAAACAAAATTGAAAACTCCAGCAAGTTAATTTCGTCTTATATATAATATTTATCTTATAATATCTTATAAAATTATGAAGTTATGTTTCTTTGCAAATTTTCAGTCCGTTTTTACCAAACATAATTACTGGTACGTATTAAAGTCTTTATAATTATTAGTAGTTATAGAGACTTTTAATAAATTCAATCTTTTCTAAACATATATTGTTAATTTAAGATATAATCTAGCAAATACGAGTTATAGAGTCCTCCATCACCCTCGCCAATTTTATCGGCGATTCTCTTTTCTTTGTAAGTACATAAACCAATCATATTGAAGAATTTTATAAAAATTGCAAAACTGCATTTTCTGCTGAACACAATCACTGACTACATTTACACGCCTCAATTTACGCCAAAGTTATATAACATCGATATTATAAAAAAACTGGCCAATCGTAGGCCTAGTTTCAATCGAGGATTTAATCCAGATTAGAATGTAACCAACCAACTACAGTCGAGCATTCCCCTGTCGTCCGACTGTAACAGGGGAATGCTCGAGTGTAGTTGGTTGGTTACATTCTGATCCGGATTAAATCCTCGATTGAAACTAGGCCTATGATTGGCCAGTTTTTTATAATGTAGTTGGTTAGTTCTTACATTCTGATTAAACTCTCGGTGGAAACTAGGCCATAGTTATTTCTCTAAAGAGTGGAACTGTGATTGACCAGTTTCCTAACTTCGATGTTGTGTAACTTCGGCGTAAATCGAGCCGTGTAAACGTAGTCATAAACTACATTTACACGACATCTAACGTCAGTAGTTAATAGTTATAACATGGAATGCTACAACTTCGGAATAAATCAGAATAAATCGAACCGTGTAAACGTATTAAACTTGTGCTCGGTGACAGCGTAGTAAACGCGTGGGTGTTTCGAATTTGAATCAGCACGTGGGAGAAACAGGAAAAAACGTGCACTGATGCCAACGGCGCGCCTACGCGGCTGCGAACCGCGAAGTTCCCAAATAGTATAAACATGGCCTCGCGGTATAGTCACGGTGTTCAACGGGTTCTGGCAAAATTGGAGGCCTCGATAAACTCGGAGAACTATTATGAGGCCCATCAGATGTACCGAACTTTATATTTCAGGTGAGAGTCGATCGGATCAGCCGCCTCATACTGTCGAGTTGTTCCTCCGTGCCCTTCAAAAATTCTGCTCATTTCTAACCTCCTCCGCTTACAGATACCTCGGTCAGAGAAAATACTCGGAGCTCTTGGAATTGCTCTACAGCGGATCGATGCTTCTATTACAGCACGAACAGGTATACGTTGAGTTCATCTTTCATGACCCTATGAGTGTCGAAGGATTTTCACGATTTCCCTTAAAATGATTTCTACAATTTTGTCGATGAGATTGAGCCTGTACAGTCGAGTGTTTCCAAGCGAATTGTAATTAATAATCGAAAGATGCGTGGATATAGCTGGAAACGAGAATCGATTTTGTTTAAACTTTACAATATATTGCGACTTGTATGTTTCTTGCAGCATGCAAGTGGAGCCGACTTAGGAATTCTGTTTGTCAATGTTTTAACACAATCTGGAACGGTACCTGCTCAAGGCTTCTTCGAAAAGATCATGAGCCTGTTTAGTTTGATGAGCCCTGCATCTCCAGAAAGGGAGGTGTTTGTGCAGTCGGCACTCAAGTGGAGTATAAAGGGTACCGATTACAAAACTGGCCATCCAGATTTGCACCAAAAGATAGCTCAGATTTTTTGGAGAGGTAATCTTATGATAAATTTTATTGTGAATTTTACTTTTTTTTTACATACTGTACGTAATGGATTTATTTTTTCATCAGAAAAAAATTATATACTGGCAAGGCAGCATTTTATATATAGTAGAGATGGTTCTGGATGTGCTGCGATGTTGGTCGAACTTCACGAACAACGTGGATACATGAATGAAATAGATCTTTTCATAGCTCAAGCAGTCTTACAGTAAGCTAATCGTTCTTATGTTCAAGTCAAGTTCTATTGCCATGACTTTTTTTAGCTTATTTCTTACAAAAATTGCTAAAATGCTAGATTCTACAATTTTGCTCTCAAATATTATAATACAATAAAGAAGATTATTGCAAAAGTAACGCAAAGATTGAACAACTATATTTGACTTAATAATTATATCTCATTAAAGAATTACTAAGCTTATTTATTTATTCTCTTATTTACTACACTTATTAATATTTACTTATTGGACAATAGACCATCAGGACAAAAGTAGCAGTCGAAATAGCCAATAGGAAAGTTGTTAGTCAGTTAAAAAAAAGATTTCGCTACTCTTAAGTTGATTTTACAATGGGTCGATTGAAAATCTTAAGTTTTAACCAATCCATTGAAGAAAGATTGCTTAACCTAAATAGATGATTATGATTTTTTTTGTCATCTATTATACAAGTTGTTAATTGTATAGTGAATCATTGAGCTTGACTATTGAGAAGAAATAAAGTTGAATTTGGACAGTCTTAAGAAAATTGATAGTCTTTATTATTAGTCATACAAGTTGGCTGTTAGCCCACTTTATCGATTCACCAATAAAACTTAGGACTACCGATTATCGACTCATTGTGAGAATCAACTTAAGCGTAGCGCAATCTTGCTGCTTTGTCACTCCTGTCGACTCTTAATGTTGGAAATCTTAAAGATATATATTATATAATAGTAAGAATAAACGGATATAACAATATAATGGAGTCTAGAAGTCTTGAAACTGAGATAATATATACATATATAAAATTATCGATTACATTTTAGGTATCTTTGTTTACAAAACAAAGCAACGGCACAAGAGGCCTTCAATTCTTATACTTCGAGGCATCCAAAAATAAATAGCGGTCCGCCATACCTTCTTCCTTTATTAAATTTTTTGTTTTTCCTACTCAAAATCATCGATAGGTACGATATATTTTATATGAGAGATACATATCTAATTGTATAAATTCAGCCTTCATTTTCCTCCGATTTGTTATTTTACAGTGGTAAACTGGCGTATCCTGTGTTCGCGGTTCTCTGTGAACAGTACCAGATATCTTTAAACAGAGATCCATGTTATCGACAGTACTTAGATAAAATAGGCCAACTTTTTTTCAATATCCCACCTCCGCGTCCACGTAATCAAGGATTATTCGGTTCATTATTGCAATCTTTCTTCAATGGTCTGGAGGACGACGATTCGGATGACGAGCAACGAAATACAGCTTCAACGTCGCACGCCGCGCAAGAACTTGATTGATTAAAGGTGAGGCAACACTGTGCAGTGTGATGCTGAATATCGAACTTTTATATATTATTCTTCGACCCAAATACTTTCACTAACTGCACCTGTGTTAACTGACAATTTCATATTGTGGACATTATGTTTATAAAACAAAAAAAAAGCTAAAGGAATCACTGTCATTTGAAAAAATAGTAATTCCAAACCATGTAGAACTTTGAAAGTATGTGGGACGACTTCTTACGGGAATTTATCAAAGTTGTAAGTTATGTATACTGAATTCACAATAGTAGAATTCAGATAGGCATCTTGATTATTTTATACATATCTAATACTTTCTACAACTTTTTTTAGCCATATAGATTTATGTATGTGCAATAATGAAGTGTATGATTTTGAATAAAAATCTACAAATTGAGTAATTCTTCAAACATGTAATTATCTGTATGTAAAAATTTGAAAGAATATGAATTTTCATTCTATGTACACTGTTATGAATTCAGCAATTATACTTAGACTTTGAATAAAATCCTTGCCATTAGCTACGATCTATGCATATAATCATCGTGGATATAATCACATGAATCCTATATACCTGCGTGTAACTGCTGAATCGAAAATTTATTTTATATAAACTAAAACGCGTGTGGACAAATAAATGTGACATAATTGTAGCTTCCAAAAAAATAATGCTTACCGAGACTGTTTGTTGCTGAGGCATCGAGAAAAAAATTGTTACTCGGACAACAAGCGATATATTTATTTATTGGATTCTATATTGATATGGGTAATCGTTCAAAATATTAGAGAAAAATTAATGCATATATTTATAAATAAAGAAATAAAACGACCATCATAAAACGACCTTAATAAATAAAAATCTTCACAGCATTAATAAATAAAGGTAATATAATGTTGCTGTATATTAAAATGAAAATAGACAGCATTCAACTAATAAATTTAGCTTTGTAACAAATATATCTCTAGAAACACATATAAGTATATCGAGTATCTTTAGATTATATTTTGTTGTCTATTACATTATCAAATTTATCAAAATTATTTAAAGTAAAATAATATTTTTAATATTTTTGATAATAATAAATCATAATTTATTATAATCATTATAATTGATCCAATTATATTCGTGTTATAATCGAAGAAGTCTACAATTTTTAATTAATCTGTAAAAATTGATGTATATTAATTTAATGATAGACAATATATCAATTATATACTTGATATTAAGATTTTGGAATGTATTATATATCATCATTTTAAAATGGATACTCTAGATATGAATATCACATCAGTCAGATCATGTGGGATTAGTCTTTTGAAGAATTAATTTAGATATTATATTTGTATAAATCACTTGAAAAATATAATAACAAATAACGATTACCCGATATAGATTACTCTTAACAAGTCCCCCTTTGTGTATCCAATAGAAATATTTAATTTAATAGTCGTGAGTTATGTGAAATGTGCGAACATACCAATCATCATGTTTCTAATTAAACATACTATTTCACAATACAATGGATTATCGATACTTGCAACATTAATTAGTTCTAAATTGTATATAACACATAATATTTTTTAATACGAAATACTTTTCTATCTCAGTATATTCATGCAGTAGTTTTATATTGCAAATGTCAAGCAAAAAAATTATAAATTCGTTAAAATTTTTGGACATTAATCACAATATGAATTTAACAGTATATATTATAAAAAAATGACAAAATCAATGATTGTAAACAGTTATAAGTAATATGTGAAATATATAGCAAAATTAATGAAATAATATTAAGCAATTAGAAAAAAATCTAAAATCGATTTTGTTTATGTTTAATATTATGTTGTACAAATAAAGAACGATAAAACTAAGAATGAGATCAGATATATAAAATACAATACGTTTAGTGCACATGTGCGTATATGTATGTGTATGTGTATATTCATTCATTTATTTACGTTTTATCGTGAAAAACCTATGCAGCTTTTGTTATAGAAACATTTTATTAAGTAATTCAATATAAAAAAAGATTACAATATTTTCTTGTAAAAAAGATATGTTGTTTTCCATTTTACATTAATATAAACTCGCACATTGTGTTCGTACATATACAGGGTGATCATTAGGAGTGTGTCTAAACTAAATAATTATTATTATTTTGCAATAAGTAAACCAAATAAAATAATTTAAATGTCGTTTTGTGAAACTTGGGTCGTTTAGGCCCGATTACACGTTACTTTAATTTTAAGCGAGGCTTAAAACTCTTTGTCCCTGTCTTTTTTCGATTTTAAAACGAGATAGAGAGAGTTTTAAGTTTCGCTCAAAATCAAAGTAACATTGATGCAACTGGGCCTTAGTGAAAGAGGAAACTTATCAATTTCATTTGAGTGTTGTACAAGCCAATTTATGAATGTTAGCGTGATTACATTAATTATCGAATGAAAGTTTCTCATTGATTACTCCTACAATAGAGGCAAAACTACACAAAACCATATCGTGGATTTCGTAATAAGTATGAATCTAAAAAAACTTGAATTGAAAGTAAAATAAATAAATACATATAAATATATATAAATATAAGAGAAATAACCTAACCTTGCGTCAAAAGTGACAAAAAACCGCGGATACTTTTCAGATGACCCAATATAAGTTATGTAAATAAATGAATTTAGAAAATATTAGTTGATATGGAGAAAAATAGTTTTAGAATAAAATCACTTTATAGGTAAAGCAGTTTTTAGCTTTTTTTTATATCTCAAAAACTATTTAAGATATAAAAGAATGTGTTATACCAAAGTTTTATAATAAGATTACCTTCATTCGCGTTAATAATATTTTTAAAAAATAATTTTTAAAAAATTAAGTATAATGATAACCGTTTAATTTCGACATAATTCTAATAGTCATCCTGTACACTACAAATCCATATTTTGCGCTATTTCAATTATAATACAAAGGAGGATGCCAAAAATTATTTAACGCGTTACAGATCAAAATAGACGACTTCAAAAAGTCTCGATGAGTAGAACAAAGTTTTCAATGGGTACAAAGTTGTCAGGTATGTTCTTCACGAGGTTACGGGTCATGAAAGTTCAAAGAGATGGTCATTTAAATAATTCGCTTGCAACATATGCAAATAGATTAATGTAATATATCGTTGCAAAGCATTCAACAAAACGAATTTAATGTTATCACACTCCGGCATATAGACTATATATATAAAAAATAAAAATAAAAATAAAATCAAGTCGGGTCTTTCGTCAGAGTTGTCATGTATCACGCAGAGATTGCTCAGCGATTTTGAGGGTACATAATCTCGGAACCTGCTATATCCGAGAAACCAGAGAATTGTTATGATGTGTGTACAGCACCCTACAGTTCTCTGACCATTTTGACAATAATATTCAACTATTGCATTGGTATCGATCTTTTTTTAACTACCAAAAAGTAGATCACGTATTTAGTTTGATTGCGATGCTTAACTCGTTGCCCCGGATCAATATTAGGAAATGGCTCGCAATGACGAATGGATCTGATAACTTTTTATTTACAACTTTCGTGATCTATAACTTGTGAAGAACGCACCTAACAACTTTATGCCTATTGCAAACTTCGATCTATTCATAGAGATCTTTCGAATGAAACCTAATTTTAACCTATAACATGTTAGACAATTTTCCGTAAACTTTGAGCATTCTTCAATGCAAAGCCGAAAAATGTAACAATAACTTAAAAAAAATATATTAATAAATTTTATTGTTTCCCTATGGGGTTACAAAGAATGTCTATTACATTATCGTGCCAGAATTGCGATACAATCAATATAAAATCAATATATTATGACACTTCACTCTACATATATTAAATTTATATTGTAATCAAAAAATCGATCAGAAAAATTGCAAACTAATTCACTTTTCTCTAAAACAAAACACAACTTCTGCTCTCTCTCTCTCTCTCTCTCTCACACACACACACACACACACACACACACACACACACACACTCTCTCATTCACTCACTTTTGCATCCTATCTAGTCTTAGGTATCTAGAAATCTATAAAATAAATAATAGTAAAATACAAAATTTTTTTTTTGTAGCCTGAAGCATATAATAGATGAAAAATTGTTTAAACTCTTATTTGAAAAAATTTATCCTAGAATTCTTCAAGTAAGAGAGAGAATTTGGATATCGTTTAGATAATTTTTTCTTAATTTGCCATGTATATTTCATACTACAAAGATATTTATGTTTTACTATTATGTACTTTATAGATTTATTTATAATAATGATATTTATTTATAAAATATTGAAATTTTTTTTTTATTAATAAATCCCACTTTCTGTCTCTCTCTCTCTCTCTCTCTCTCTCTCTCTCTCAATTCACACTTTACATATTTGGAAAAATATACATATATATTCGGAAATATATATACATATATATTCCACAAAATTATAATTTTCCTAGAAATTCTAGATCCAGACTGTATGTGTCTGGAGGTTCCTGAATTAATTTTTAAATGAAATTGTACTATCAAAAACACATTTTATTTATTTTCACTCTAAAGCCCAATTTTAGAGGTTTACTTTACAAGCGAAATACTGTTAATACTGTAACTACTATTTTTTATATTTTTCTGTGATGTAATTCTTATTTACGAGTTAATGTAACTTTGCCATGTCCTTCTATCGGCGGATGCGAAGGAGACCGAGGCCAGTTGCCACAGTTTTTTACTAATGACTTTTAAGAGAAAAAATGGATGTAAGATTTTGAAACACTATATACATTACAATGTAACCTTACGATATAATATATCCCTTAGGTATTAAAAAAATATTATTCATGAATACACATCACATCATATAAATAAGTTATTTAATTTTAAATAAAGCTGCAAAAATGTGACAATTAGGATCGGTTGCATCAATGTTACTTTAATTTCAAGCGAAGCTTAAAACTCTTTGTCCCTGTCTCTTTTCGGTTTTAAAACAAGATAGAGAGAGTTTTAAGTTTCGCTTAAAATCAAGTAATTGATGCAACTAAGCCTTAGTGAAAGAGCAAACTTATCAATTTCATTTGAGCATTGTTTAGTACTCTATTATTCTCTATTATTAATTAGTCTTGTACTCAGGATTAAATGTCATCGGGTCGGTACACGTTCCAGGTTTGCCAATAACAGATTTTTTATGGATAAAAGATAATACAATTTTTATTTTTAGAGGTTTATTTTACAAAAAATGTTTATTTTGCGAAAAATCTGCGTTTTTTATATTTTTCTGTGATGTAATTCTTATTTACAAGTTAATGTAACTCTGCCATGTCCGTCTATCGGCGGATGCGAAGGAGACCGAGGCCAGTTGCCACAGTTTTTTACTAATGACTTTTATTTTAACCAGTTCTTTTTGGAAAATAATAGCAATTATAGTACTAATATTTTTGAAAAATTATTAAATAAAATACATAATTTGTTTTCGTACTATAGTTTCTATACGAAAAATAAAAAATCATATTTATATACTTTTAT